TTTTAAGTACCTACCTCCTACATGCTAGTGATTTCCAAATGTTTTCTCCAGCTCAGAAATGTCCAGTGAGATCCACACTTCCATCACCTACTGCCTAGTACACATCTACAGCTAAATTCTCATAGACACCTCAAACTCAACAATCTAAAATGGCACTATCTTTCCATAATACCCCAAATCTTCTCTGCTCCCAGAACTCTTCATCTTGACTAGTAACACAAACATCCTCACAATCTTCCAAGTCAAATAACTGGGAGTCATCCTAAATTCCTCCTATCCCTCATTTCACACCCTGCCTTTAGCTTTTCTCTCCTCTAATCCCTTTTAAATCTTTGTATCTTCCAGCTAAACATTTCTTGAGTCTCCACCACCTAGATCTCTTATGCTCTACAAAGAGCACTCAAATTGGTAAGCATAAAACACAAATGCCTTCATGACCTGGTCCTAAAGCATCTCACCAGCCCATAGCCCACCTCTTCACCTTTGTCCTTTGTATTCCTGTAGTACTTAACTGGAAGGCACTGTGTTAGGTGTTTTGCATACATTATGTGATTTAATTCTTAAAACAGCCTTAACAGTTAAGTATAACTTTACCTACCTGCCAACGAGTGACACTGCATATCCACTACCAATTTGGGGATTATCTTAGTTCCAAAACTCCACTCATACCCTGCTGCGAATCACTACCTCAATAATGACTAAGCTTTCATCATCTACATCTGATGCCCCTGAAGGCCACTAATGGCCTTGTTAACCACTATTAAAAAAAAAAAAAAAAGCAGATCACTATCTGTTCTAAGATAGTAGTAGATAAGGCCTTTCATAATAACTATAATAACTTCCATGATTAATAATTATTCCCCAAAATACTCTAACAATGTTCACACTAAAAAAATTATTTTTAAATGAAATATTACCTGGCAATAAGCATAGTTCCCAAGAGCTTTATGAGCTTCATCAATAACTAGACACTTTATTTCAGCAGCAGGACAAGCTCCTCTAGAAAGATCATTTACCATGACTTGAGGTGTAAGAAAAATTACTCTCTTACTGCTCCATATTTCCTTCCTGGTGGAAGCTTGAGTAGATCCTGCAAATAAAAGTGACACTGGATCACTGACAGGGTATATATACACACTTAGTAGCTTCAAAATGCTCTGACGAGCTACAAGGATTCTCTGAAGACTGAGTAAAGCAACCCTATTTATTAGGGCTGGACTTGCCACAAGTACAGGAGTACCTCGGAGACACAGCACGTTCGGCTCCAGACCACGGCAATAAAGCGAGTGGAAATCTTTTAGCTGGATTGAAATCTCTTGCTTTCAATTTGTAAAAAGTGCCACATCTGTGAAGCACAAATCTAAAGGCAATGAAACAACGTATGTCTGCAGGTGATGTTTTAGAGGAGAGGATGCATGATGAAGATATGATCTGGGGACTATTCCACATGGGTTAGGAATTTCTTTAGCTCAATTTCCAACGGAACGTGTACTTTGTCCTACCCAGCTCTTTAATTTCAAATTAGCCCACTCTTTCTGAAATACCTGTCATTTCGGCCATGTGGGACTGCGGGATACCCATCACTCCGTAGCAAGCCTCAATCTGCTGTGTCACCAAAGGTTTCGTGGGGGCCATGAAGACTACCTTGCCAGACGGGAACCAGCGGTAGAAATTGTACATGACGACAGCGGCAATAAAGGTCTTTCCCAACCCGGTGGGCAGACACACCAGCGTATTGCAGAACAGAGCGGCCTGGGCGATGTGCAGCTGGTAGTCCCGCACCGGGCAATTAGTAGGATAAATCCATAGGGCGCCCGCTGAGGTGCAGAACCCGCCATTCCTTAGATTCAGCTGCCGCTCTGCCTCGTACACAGCAACCAGCAACACATTATCGTCCGTCTCCGGCGGTGCGTCTGCAGCGTCTGTAGCCTCTGCAGCGTCTGCAGCGACCGCGGCGGCAGGAAAACACGCCCGAGAGCTGCCAGGGCTGTGAGGCCGCTCAGTTCTAGAGCTGCAACCCGGAGCCACAGAGGATCGGGAGAGGCTTGAGCCCCAGGTCTGGAAAAGCGTTCTTTGCCGTCCGCTCATTAAGCCTACGACCACCAAGGGCTTCTCTCAACGCCAGCAGCTGCTGCAGCTGAACTGCCACCCATTCGATCTCCATCAGTTACCTCCGCACAGAACCGTGGAAGCAGAGGGCGGGACTGAGACCAATATATCCACTTGAAAATGCCGCCACTAAGCTCACGTTAGGAATATGATTGGCTGGCTCTCCGGAAACCCTCATCAGCCCTCCAGAAGAGGCATGCGCATTGTTTTGGAGTTACTGTAAATTTGGTCCCCTATTCAGATTTTTATAGACTCTAAATTTTAGTTCCTTTTCCAATGACTACATGTCATTGCGTCATTTCTAAAGTCAAAACGCTTAAAATAAAATAAAAGTGAACTCGAGGTTCTCAGAACAACAGATACCCATATTTTTGTGAACTGAACGTTATCGACCATCTAATGTGCTTTATTACTTGGTTGTTTTTAAATGGGAAGATGAGGGGAAACACGCAATTGTTTAAATTGAATTAAATATCTTATTTCTCTGTCCAGGTTGAGAAAACAAAATGTCAGTTCTCTTTTTTACATCATTAGGAGGGCAACCCGTTATCTTAATATTTTCATTGTTAAAAGGGAAGTAAACAGTTTGGTCTTGATATTCACTGAAAATTTCTTTTAAAAAAGGCATTCTGATGCTCAGAATTGTTGTGGTATTGATAATAAGGTTAGGAATCAATGCCTGTAAAAGCTGTTGTTCCAGGAACTTAAGGTAAGACCCACCCTGACTGCAGGAGACCATAAGTAGTCCCACCTTTGTGCCTCAGGAAAACTACAAGCAATCAAGATGGTATCTGAGCCATTTCATTCCAGGGTGAGATGACCACCACCCAGGACACAGCTAAAGACTACCGACCACACTGAGAATGCTGCAGTTTATTTTTAATCCAATTAACTTTCTCCTGAATTCCAAACCCCTTATCTACACTTTGTTTTCCTTATAAAAAGGACCTTTTTTACTTTTTAGATTTTATTTATTTATTTTTAGAGAGAAAGGGAAGGAGAGGAGAGAAACATCAATGTATGGTTGCCTCTCGTGAGTCCCCTGCTGGGAACTGGCCTGCAACCCAGGCATGTGCCCTGACTGGAATCCAACCGCGATCACGTGGTTCACAGGCCCGCGCTCAATCCACTGAGCTACACCAGCTAGGGCTAAAAAGGACCATTTAAAAATGGAATTCAAAAGATGATGTGTTATGGTACAAAACCGCCACCTTCTAAGATCAACCGTGTAAATAAAGCGTCCATAAAGGTTCAATCTCTGTCTCTGTTTTTGGGGTCTGGTATGCAATAGACAGCACAAACACTGGTTTTTCCAGGTTCAGTATGTCTACTCTAGCAATAGCTTGGTTTCTTTCTTTTTTTTTTTTAAATGAGAGTTTAAGTTTATGTGAGCCAAACTGATGACATGTCAGAAAGCAAGATCTCAAATTCTGCAGAAAAGGACAATTTCGTGGTTTCTTTTTACATATTTGGAGTCAAGGAGGGAACACAAGAAAGATTACATGAACGTGAGAGAAAGCAAGGTGCAAATTAAACTAGATTACATGCTCCCTTTGCTGGAGGTTGTAAAAACAGCACCAGAATGTTAGACAGGTAGATTTGAGTCAGGATAGTAAGAGGCTAGGCATTCCGTGGCAAGTAGAATAGGGAAACTGAGACAGATAACAGAACAAAATGGCTAAGTAGTGTATAGCCACATACAGAAGTTCACCTCCGTAGAGATAACATGTAGGACTCACTTGTACCTTAGCTCCAGGCTCAGAAAAGCAGAAAACCAGGTGGGCAATGCCAGGACGAGCTGCAATGACTAAAGACACCCTGCCCTGTCATAGACCAATCAGTGGAGACCATAACTCTGAAAAGGCACACGTGGAAAACTGATGAATACTCTGCTGAAATCCTCCTCTGTGACCTCCCCTAAGATTCCAACCTGCAAGAGATATAAAAGCTTTAAGACTAAGGACCTAGTGAGCTTTCTCTCTGGGGAGCAGTAAGCCAATTCCTTTTCTCTCTTCTTCCTTCTCTTAATCCTCCACAGGATCCCATTTCCTAAACTCTAAAGGATCCCACAAGACTTGCAATCAGGGGAGAAATGGGCTCAAGAAACAAGCAGAGGCAAAAGAAGGGGCCCTTGGAACTCAGAAGAGAGAAAGTTATAGATAACGCCCCATGATGGAAAGAGCAAAGAACAGAAAAGGCAAGGGCAGCTCTCCAGAGTAAGAGTACTCTAGCAATAGCTTTCTACATCAGGCTACTCCACTCCAAACCTAGGCCTGAACCTCTGTAAATCTGTTTTCTTGTATTTTGAGGGAAAGTACAAACATATTATGAGGTGTTTTGAACATTAATAACGTCACCCTCATTACCAAGTGATTTTATTTGGTCAAGTTCTAAATTTGCTTTTAGACAAACTTTTTCTTGTGTTTGTATTTTTAGGGGGAAGGGACAGGTTGTATTTTAGTTTCATTTGTGTTAGTCTCAAAAGGGAGATGGTTGGATATGGGTTATTCCAATGGACAAAGACTGAGTCCATCTAGGTGTTAATATTAGGCTACAACTTGATAAAATGAGATTAGATTGACTGAACTCTTGTTTTGTTTATACAGGATATAGAGTTTAAAGGCATAACAGCTGTAGGTAAAAAACAAATGTGTGTAATCAGTGGTAAATATAACTACCATTACAAGGGTTCCAATTAAGGGTCAGGCAAGGGCCAATCAGACAAGGGCCACATTCAGCTTTCACCCAGACTTAACAAAGAAGCCCTCAAAGCACAGCCTTCCCGTCACTCAAAAAAAACAGGCCCCAATCCCGAGCGGTAGCACTATGACCCCGCCCCCTACAGCTCCTCACCGGGGTCATCCACGCCCCGGGGGCGGGGCGCTGCCAAACAGAGGCGGGCTGGCTCAGTAAAGCAGAGGCAGCGGGGGAAGATGGCGGCAGCGGTTCCCCAGCGGACCTGGACCGTGGAGCAGCTGCGTAGCGAGCAGCTACCCAAGAAGGACATTATCAAGTTTCTACAGGACCACGGTTCAGATTCGGTACCAGAGGCGGCGGGGCGGCCGGGCTGGTGCTGCCGAGGGAGGCCTCATCCCCCCGTAGCTGTCCGTACATTCTGTATTCCTCGGATCCCCCGCCCTCGTTGTCCCGCGGCCGGTGGCCTGGAGGGCCGGGGAGGCCTCGCGTGGTCTCGGAGCCACGCTTCCGCCCCTCGGGCCGGCCCTGCTTGGGCGAGTGGAGCTGTACCGCTTGCGGCTCGCAGGCAGCAATCGCAGAATTAGAACCACATTGGGGTCCTTGAATGAGGATGGAGGCCATGAAATAAAGGAACCCTGGAGCTACTGGCGGCTGAGGCGAAGGGTGGGGGCGTTGGAGGGGGGGAGGGGGGGCCTGGGGGCTTGGATAACCCCACAACAAGGGGGTGCGGGGTGTGAGGGAAATGGGGAAGGGTATGATTTCTGTGGGAGATGTGTGCGCGCCCTGCCTGTCTCATCAGTACTAAACTGAACAGTAATGCATGTGATTTGTTTAAATCCGCAGATTCCGATTTAACGTTTTAAAAATATAAACCCTTTAAGTGACCTTTTCACTTTTATATTGGGGAGTTACATGAGCGCTTCATGTACAGCTGTCTCCCATTGTTACAAACTAAGAAGTCTATTAGGCATTCTTTGTAGTACGCCCTGTATTTTTCAGCAGTCTCCATCTTAACTATCAGTCTGTTGTCACAAATTATTTTTGTGAGATGTTTTTTTCTTCTGAAATTAAGATCATTCATATCTCTTAAATTATTGAACGATTGTGCAATTTGTTATGCCTGAGGCATTGCCCACTGTCAGAAATAGAAGCAGCAGTCTGCATCTCGTTCTCTGCAGTTTTTTAAATTTAGGTTCTAAACTAGCATTTAGAAATACTGTTTCTGGGTTCCTTTAAAAAGATTGTAGTTTTTCACTTTGAGGGGTCTTGAAGGGGAGATACTATTCTTCTCCAACTTGCATCTCCATGCTCCTGAAGAAGCACATTGACATCGGCAAACATGTATCTATAGCAAGAACTATGCTTAGTGTATGGGAACACGAGGATGGAACTGAAAAGACCATACTTAAGGGATACCATTTTAGTGAAATTGTTTTAAGCCAATTCATACTTTAATTAAACATTAAAATAGTCATTTATTAACGTTAATACTCCATCGAATTCTTATGAAACAAATCATCCCAATGTGGAATCTAAATGTAAAATCCAATTTAAAGAGATGTAGAGTATCAAAATACTTTAAGTCACCATTTTTTTTAGATTTTATTTATTTTTAGAGGGGAAGGAAAAGAGAAAGAGGGAGAGAAACGCCTATATGTGAGAGACACAGATTGGTTGCCTCTTGCACACCCCCCAACTGGTGATCTGTCCCACAACCCAGGCATGTGCCCTGACTGGGAATGGAACCAGCGACCCTGTGTTTCTCAGGCCAGCACTCAATTCACTGAGCCACGCCAGCAAGGGCCCAAAATACTTTTATAACATTTTTAAGTGCATGTTCTCCAGTGTTCATTCACATACTTAAACCTAATATATTTGACAGTCACCAGTTTATTGCTTGACATAAGATGTCAAGGAGATGTTTGTATTTTGGATATTTATCTGGAATCTTGCTAAAGAAATCACAAGAGTGCTAAAGTAACATTACTTTTTTTAAATCAAAATAGCCTTTCTGTATCAGCCTTTATCATTTAGAAGTGGTAGAAAAAAGCAGAAAAAAATACAATAGTGTTAAAATTTCTAATTGTTTTATCAAAAGGTTAAGTGTGGGCTGTGAACCAAAGGGTTGCCAGTTTGATTCCCAGTCAGGGCACAGGCCTGAGTTGTGGGCCAGGTCCCCAGTGGGGGCCACATGAGAGGCAGCCACACATTGATATTTCTCTTTCTCCTTCGTTTCCCCTCTAAAAGTAAATAAATAAAATCTTTTAAAAATGTTTCCTTAAAAAAAAATAAAAGAACTGAGAAAGTATGAAAATGAGAAATCAAGCAATGACCATAGGCAAAAGAAAAGAATAATAAAATGATTAAAATCCCCAAGTTACATGATTTTGACTTGAAGTTATTTTGATAACTTGATATTTCAATAGTATTTTGGTTTCTATCTGCCAACTTAAGTCTTATGTTTGAGAGAGAAGGTAATTCTGTTGTGGATTATCCTTATAACCACCTGATATACATGCTGTTACTAATCTTCCACTATGATAAAGAAACTGAGCCTTTAGGAAAACTTAGTCCCTTGTCTGAAATCAGCTAGGATTTTAACCCAGACGGTCTAACCTACCATGTTTTTTGGACTGTAAGATGTACCCCCCCACCATTTGGGAGAAGTAATGGTTGTTAGTGGTGCTGTTGAGTTCTGTTTATATTTACATTGGTAAACTGTTATTTATGTTATTAAATATTTTACATTTTTTGCTTCAAAGTTTTCTTTCCTATTTTCTTCTAAAACCTGGGTATGTCTTACGGTCCGAAAAATACAGGTAACTCCACAGCCCATAAACTTAACCACTCTGTATCCAGCATTGTATAACAGTGCTTCTCAGTCTACCAAGAATGGGTTACAGATATTTCAAGACAGCTGTGTGCAATATTGCTGGAGGCTTCCATCATGCCAGGAGCAGCTTCACCCAGTTACCAAAGTGTGCTCGCTGTATAAATGTGCTTTTCTGTGAGTTCCATGATGGAAAAAGAGTTAAGTACACACCGGTGTGACCCCTACAAAATACTACAATTCCAGTCTCGTAATTCTTGTATGTACCCAATGGGTTTTTTCAGTGTTCCTTAAAGCTTTTTTAAAAGTTTATTTATTTTTAGAGGAAGAGGGAAGGAACAAGAGAAACATCAGTGTGTAGCTGCCTCTCAGTCTCGTGTTCCCACTGGACCGCAACCCAGGCATGTGCCCTGACCGGGAATCAAACCAGTGATCCTTTGGTTCCCAGGCCGGTGCTCAATCCACTGACCCACACCAGCCAGGGCCTTAAGCCTTTTCTGTTGTTGTTATGAAGCAGGGTATAAAATAGAGTATTTCATTTTTTTTCTGTCATTAATAGTATTGTTGAAAACAATTACATAAAAGATCATTTTGTAATTTTATACCCTCATATGAGAAATTATTTTGACTAACCAGCTTTTTTTTCTTGGTAGTTTCTTGCAGAACATAAGTTATTAGGAAATATTAAAAATGTGGCCAAGACAGCTAACAAGGACCATTTGGTTACAGCCTATAACCACCTTTTTGAAAGTAAGGTGAGTATTGTTATATATTATTGCCAGAATATCACATTTTGCATATTCCCCAAAATAAGTTTGCATTTATTTGCAGAATGATGCAAGTTTTTACACCTGCAGTTTTTCTTAACTGTAACCATAAATGCAGTCAAATCTAGTGAGTTTTATCTCCAATTTAGCAGGATGTTTTGATATTTTGAAAGGGACCAGATTTTAAAAATGATTCCCTAGTAGTTTAAGACAACAAATTCTCAAGGGTACTGAAAAATGACAAATCTGAAGTTCCATTTCTTATTTTTTTAGAGAGGGAGGGGAAGGGAGAGAAATATTAATGCTATAAACATTGATTGATTGACTCTCATACGTGCCCCATCTGGGGACTGAACCCACAACCTGGGTATGTGCCCTGATGGGGAATCTAACTGGTGACCTTTCACCTTGCAGGACAGTGCCAACCAACCGAGCCATGTGGGTTAGGGCAGTTCCATTTCATTAATGAGCTTAAAAGTCTTTGTTACACTTAGGCTGAGACTTCAGATAAATAAATCTTAAGAAACTCCCCAGTATGTGTTCACTATGAAATGACCATCTCCCACAGAAAAGAATCTTTATTAAGGAGTTATTTGAACAAGATCATATTCAGTTTCTTGTTTCAGCATTTATATTATGAGATGATCTGAGGGTCATAATTTGGTGATTAAAATGCTTAACATAAGATGCTTCCTTTGTTCTTATGAAGTTTCTGTTGGTGCAGATAAATGTTCATTTATTTGAGAGGCTAAATATCTATAGGTCTGTCCTAGCTTTTAGCCCGAATATGAAAAACATTAGAATATTTCCCTTACAGCGTTTCAAGGGTACTGAAAGTATAAGTAAAGTGTCTGAGCAGGTGAAAAATGTGAAGCTTAATGAAGATAAACCCAAGGAAACCAAGTCTGAAGAGACTCTGGATGAGGTTTGTATATATTTTCTTATTTGGCTCTCATGGGAATTTGAGAAAAGTATTTGATTTATAGCGCTGATTTCTCATAATGATAGGTAGGTGAGTGTGGCCACTTAACAGTGAGCTAAATGCTGAATTGGAATGTATCTCCCTTAGGTGTAACCGAATCAGACAAATAAAGGCCTAAAGGGGGTTGGGGAAGCCTAAGAACCAGTGCTTTACCATTAGGAAGCCTTTTGGGAGATAACTCTAGCTTTGGATTTTATATTGCCTCTGTGTCTTGTCAGAACTTACGAGCTGTCAAAGCTATTTTAAGGTCCTGGTTCTATAGCCAAGTTGGACCGAGTGAAAGAAACTTCATTTTGATTATTTTTAGCTTTTTCAAATGTGCATGGTGTCCTTGGCAATAGAAATAGTCCAGGTCTGGCTGCAGGGTGTGGGTTCATCTTCTCATCTTTCCCAAAGGTTTGAAGAACCAGATAAAATCATTTCTGCAAATGGACAGCCTTTGTGCAGCCTAAGGACAGCTCTTAGAACTGCCTCCATAGAGCTTAGCTGATTACAATCTTGACACTTCTGATGATGACTTAACTAAGCTCACTCATTCCCAGCAGTCTTAGTATCAGTGATAATAATCTAATAATAATAGTAGTAGTTGTTGTTGTTGTAAAGAGATGTAACCTATTGATAAGAGGTAACATTTGGGTATTAGTGCAAAGAAGTATAAATGTTTTATGACAAAAGCTAGATAATTTGCATGATCTCTTCCTGCTGATTGAAAAGCACATATTAATGTTTACGGGTATGCACACACAAAAAGTATGGAATTTTGAGGTTTACCACAACTATACTATTTGATAAATGTTATAGTAGGCAAATATTGAGCAGCTAATAAGGTAAATAGAGGCTTAACAATTACTAAAAGGGTTGGAAAAGCAGCGGGCAACAGAGTCTACCTTCCAGAAAATTAGAATAAGGGAGACATGAGGCAGCGGATAGTATGCATATCATTAAGAAGTTAAGAAAAAGAGATTTACAATTAAAAGTAAAAGGCTGTAAGGGCTGGAGACAACCTAGAGAGATCTTGTGAGGGTCCTAAACTATATCCTTTTATTTCATTTAACTGGCCAGCCTGAGCCCAGTTATATGCTCTCATTGTCTTCCTAACACCTGGATTTCATAGCCTCTTGGCTCACACTTTCCTGATTCTTGCTATCTGCTCCCTCTGTTCATGCCTTGGGAGTGCAGAGCAGGCACTATGAAGAAAAATAATCATGATAGGTGTAATGGGGTTGGTATAAAGTTATGCTTAATATCAGCCAAAACATGTTTTCTAGTTTCAGTGCTACTTGGCAACTTTTACAGTATCCTTCACTCAATTCCTCATCACAAATTATTAGAAATTGTTGAGGAAAGTTTTGTAAGTATGAATGAATATTGGATGAGAGAAAGTACAAGGGTGGGCAAAAGTTTACAGCTCTAGTAAGATAATAACACAAGAACAAACTTTGTTTTGTGTACTCACAATTATAAGGCTACTTTTGCCCACCCCTGTAAAAGTTGGGGGAGGAACTTACACTCAACAGTTGGAAATGACTGTGAAAGTATTCAAGCAGAAAACTGTAAGATTCATCCTTTAGAACTCTTTCACATTTAATCATCACCAAATTCTGTTGATTCTGCATACATGTATCTCAAAACCACACATTTTTTGTTATCCTCATTTTTAGCACCTAAGTGTAGACCTAGACTACCAACTGCCTGTTCCTCACTTCCACTCTTGATTCCCTGTCTATTCCTCACACTGGATCACAGTGATCTGTTTAAAATGCAGATCCAATTCTTTAACTTCTTAGAAGCTTTTTTTAAAAAAAAAAAATCCTTACCAGAGAATATGTTTATTAGATTTTAGAGGAAGGCGGGGGAAACCATAGATCTGTTGCTTCCTTTACAAACCCTGATTGGGGATCAGGCCCTCAGCTAGGCATACTAGGTTTGTACCCTGACTGGGAATCAAACCTGCAACCTTTTGGTGTACAGGACAACACTCCAACTAACCCAGGCACCCAGCCAGGGCATCTTGGAAATTCTTAATTGGCTGCTTAGTGACTTGAGGATGAAATCCCAGATTCTTAACATTTGCTACTTGCCTTTCCAGCCTCATCTCATACCATTCTCTCCATTCCTTCCTTGCACACGATACTATTTTCTTGCTCTGAAAATGCTGTTCTCTGTTGTAAACCTTCCCTCTATCACCTGCATAACCTCTTTTCTTTCAGGATACAGTTCAAATATTCTTTGCAAGTAACTTCTACCACCTCTAGCCTCTACTGGGTTGTCACTGTCTCATTCCTATCATAGCACCCTGTGCTTCCCCTAAAGGTCTCATAAAAAATGTAATTATACACATCTGTCTACATTCTCCGATAGAGGGAGGGCCAAGACCAAGTCTGCTAACTCACCCACATATCTCTAGTATCTAACAGAGAACATGCTCAAATATTTATTGAATTAATAATAATTATGTACTGTAGTCTCATTTTCATTGGCTATGATGTAATCCATTTCATTGCAATTGAATGATTATTCTCAATGTCTCTTTATCTCTGGGTCTAGAAGTACCTAGGTCAGACTCCATCTTGGGAATATAGTTCTTTCCACCACTTTGGACTAAGAAATTGCCACAAAGCCAGCAAGTTACCTAAAAGCTGGGTTCAAGCATGTAACTCTCCAGGAAGGACAGCCTTGGAACTGCTGTGACTTATTATGAACCAACCAGATCCTTGCAATTAACTTTGACATTGTGTTTTCCAGACTTAATTACATTAAACTCCTTTTCTTCTAACAATGTGAATGCCAAGGAATGAGTGATCCATAAAAGACACTTTGTGAAACACTGACATGGAGGCTATCAGTGGGCAGACTGGCACGTTCACCATTACCATTAAGACTGAACCACAACCACCAATTTAGTGTGTGTTTGAGTTGTTATTCAAGGACCTACTTCAATGTAGATAATACAACATGCCCATGCCACCTGAGACAACAAATAAGAAACAATGGAATGACAATATTTAAATGTGGTTATTGTTCACTAATCATATATTATCTGTTCATAAAATTATATGTAATTTCTTGAAGGTATTCTCACATAAATATATGTAGGTATTCTTCTTTTGTAGCTTCCAAATCTTTAAATTAAAATTATTTTCAGCCCTGGCTAGTGTATCTCAGTGGATTGAGCACAGGTCTGCAAACCAGAGGATCGCGGTTCAATTCCCAGTCAGGGCACATGCCTGGGTTGCAAGCCAGTTCCCAGCAGGGGACGCACTAGAGGCAACCATACATTGATGTTTCTCTCCCCCTCTCCTTCCCCTCTAAAAGATAAATAAATAAATATTTTTTAAAAAGTATTTTCAAATTTGGGACCATAATGTTACCAGATTTTTGTCACATTACTATATATTTTTAAAACATTTCTCTGATACAAAAATAACATGCTATTTTTAAATACAAAACAGAATGCTATAATAACACCTAGAAATGAACATATTTAACATTCAGAATATCCTTTAATATGTATGCATATATTTTTAAAGTTACAATTTTACTGTAGTTAGAACTTTGTTGATTTTTCTCATTATGGATGAAAAATAAGGATTTCCCCATATTAAAAACAATACTATATTATCATAAAATGTATGATTATTTTGCCATTATAGAGAATAGTGTACTGGGTAGCTACATAAATATTTTTCCTAAGTTTCATATTCTTGAGCATAATTATAACACTTTGAACATCTTCAAATTGCATTCCAAAAGAATTGCACCCTGTCACTGTCACACTGCTACCACTAGATACCTCTCCATTTACAGTACCATAAAACAAGACTGCAGTGGGAGCGTCAAGGAGGAAGTCAATGCCTACTTTTATAATGTACATTGTATTCTAGCCATAGATGTGATTTACTTTTGATTTGGGGTGGCAGCCTTGCTGTACTTCACAGTGCTAATTTTTAAATTTTATGTATTTATCTTTAGAGGGGAAGGGAAGGAGAGAGGCAGAGAAATATCAATGTATGGTTGCCTCTCATGTGTCCCCTGGCCTGCAACCCTGGCATGTGCCCTAACTGGGAATCAAACTGCAATAGTTTGGTTTGCAGGCCTGTGCTCAATCCACTGAGCTACACCAGCCAGGCACAGCACTAATTCTTACTCTAAAGTGGACAGGGCTTTTTTACCCTATCCAGGCCTTACTTTTTATATAAAAGATAGGGAAAAGACCGTCAGATTGCTGTTAAAGAAAATGACTTGTATTAAAATGGTAAAGAGCATGGGCTTTATGCCCAAGCTGACTGGTTTCCAATTCTATTCAGTTACCTAGGAGCTTTAGGACTTTGCAAATTACTTAACAATTCTGTCCTTGTTTCCTTATCCACAAAATAGGTATAACAGTACCTGCCTCAAGCGGAAGTGAAAATTAAAAGTCAATTTATTACAAACTACTCACAGGGTTGTAAAATACAGCCAGTGATATTGTAGTAACTATGTGTGGTGTCAGGTGGGTATCTGCAATATCAGGAAGATCACTTTGTAAATGATGTGATTGTCTATATACTTTGGTTTACACCTGAAACTGATATAATACTGAATATAAACTGTAATTGAAAACTAAATTTTTTTAAAAGGTAGAAAAAATTAAAGTGATCACAAAAGAAGTTTATATAAGGTATTTGGAATAGTGCCTGGCCCATAAGGGTATTCAATAGATATTAACATCAGCAGAAGTTAATTTTCATTATCACTGTTTCTTAAGCTGTTTTGGTATAGTGTGTAGTGGAAAGAACCGGGCCTTTGGATTCAGACAAATCCAAGTCTGTATGCATTCTCTACTACTCATTAGTTCTGTTGCATTAGTTCCCTGAACCTAAGTCCTCATCTGCAAAAATGCAAGTGATACCTTGTTCAGAGGATTGTTAGGATTAGGTGGAATGTTGTTTTCAGTGACTGGTAAACAATAGGTGTTTAATATCTCTTATTTCCTTTCCCATTACTAAATGTTTTACACTATTAAATGTCTATATATTATCCTGCTTTGTTCTAGGAAATATGCCTATTATGGTGCTGTCTATAGATTCCATTTATTGTGTGAACTTCAAGTTCAGAAAGAAATGCATATTTACTGTATTCATTCTAATTAGATATAATAAAAACATTTGGTAATGTCAATTATTGGTGCTAAAACCATTCAGATCTTTGAGAAAATGTCACAATGCTTTATTTAATGCCTTATGATTTTTTAGGAATAGTATTTTAACCTTTGGAAATAACTGTATTCATTGTATACTTTATTGAATAATTAACAGAATCTTATCAAAAGGAAATTGGTTTCTGAAGAAGCTAGAAGTTTTTGTAAATTAAATTATAAATATCATTACTCATAGAGCAGGCTGACAGCTCTGTGAAGGGGGGAGACTCACAGACATGAACAACAGTGTGGCGATCATGGGAGGAGGGGATGGGAGAGGTGGCAGACTGTATAAGGGCAATAAATGTTAATGGAAAAAATACAATAAAAATGCATCTATGATGCTTCCTGCTTCTCCAGCCCCAATCTATCCCCTAAGCCCCCATTTCCTTCCAATAAAGTCATACCTGCTCATAAGTATATGAGATACACATATTGTAGTTACTAGTATTCTCACTACAGACTTGAAATGAGGTGGTGACTTTTTAACTCAACAGTGAGCTAAAGGCAAAATAGTTTATTACCACATCTGTGAAACTCTGTGACTAGACTTAGATCACGTGGCTATATTAAGTATGCTCTTTGTTGTCCCTCTAAAAGGAGGACATGAGTTCAGAACTCTGTGTTTTCTTTGTTTTTAGGGTCCACCAAAATATACAAAATCTGTTCTTAAAAAGGGGGACAAAACTAACTTCCCCAAAAAGGGAGATGTTGTTCACTGCTGGTATACAGGAACACTACAGGACGGAACTGTTTTTGATACCAATATTCAAACAAGTAAGTCTGAATGTAATCATCTCTGGATTCAGGGCATTACAAAATACAAGGTCCAGCAACCATAATGCCCCCTTTTTATTATAAAGTCATAAGCATGTAATTCTGTAATATAGCTGTATTACATTCAAGCATACCATGACATTTTAGGTGAAATATTTAAATTAAAACTGTAAATTATTATACCCATATCATCACCCCACCAACCACACTCAAGCAGAGGTCACTTTGGCCGGACCCTGTATTTGTAGATGAATGGTTCACAGTACCCTCTTCTCGGCTGTCACTTTTTTCCAGAAGTTTTTTGCATCTGTGATTTACTTGAAAGAGGTCTTCAATTCATCGCTTATTGGCTGTGTAAATAAAGACCTCTTGGCTATTGAAAAGCAAAAAATAGCTCTGGTTGGCGTAGCTCAGTGGATTGAGTGAACCAAAGGGTTGCCAGTTCGATTCCCAGTCAGGGCACATGCCTGGGTTATGGGCCAGGTCCCCAGTAGGGGGCGTGCCAGAGGCAACCACAGATAGATGTTTCTCTCCCTCTCTTTCTCCTCTTCCCCTCCCTCTAAAAATAAATAAAATCTTTTTACAAAGGGCAAAAAAAAAATAGTCTAAACTTGGTTAATGCCCCAAAGTGAGACTTTAGTTTGTTAATGTAAAAGGCAGGATGCTGTAGTGTTTTAGTGGTTGGTGTAAATATAGGTCCTTACCGTCTCCCTTTTAGACCCTTTTTGTATTCAGAATGCTCTTAATTACCTAGTTTTCTGAAGTTTTTTCAAGTGCATAGTATGATACTTCTGAAATCAAGTTAAAAGACTTATTAAATCCCTGTTTTTTCATTGGAACTTCATCATTAATTCTAAGGAAAATCTGTTTTACAGGTTCAAAGAAGAAGAAAAATGCCAAGCCTTTAAGCTTTAAGGTTGGAATAGGCAAAGTTATCAGAGGTGTAAGTAAAAAGTGGTAATGTATCATTAGAGATTTTGGCACATGCTACTTGTGGCATGGTGCCAAAAAGAATTAAAATTGGGGATATCATGGGACAGTCTTTGGAGTCTGACAAGTTGGTATTGTCATCACTGACTGTTCTGGCACAAGTTAGTAAGATCTTCTGGGTCTTGGTTTCCTTATCTATAAAATACAGTATTTGAACTACTCAGGGTAGTTCAAAGACTATATAAACATCAGTTAAACCATGTAATATAGCAGACACTCAAATATTTCCTTCTAGCCTACCCCTTTATTACTTTTTTTCTTCATAAAGTAGTTCTTAGAATATTTGGCTTTTTAAATTTGTCTTTTAAGGTTCTTATAAGATGTGCCTTGGCCAGGTGGTTCAGTTGGTTGGAGGCCTGTACAATAAAAGGTTGTGGGTTTGATACTGGTCAGGGCACATATGAGAGGCAACCAATCAATGTTTCTCTCCCTTAAAAAAAAAAAAGATTCTTGTAAGATGTTACTTGACTGTTGTACCACTTATAACATGATGAAGGAAGGTAAGATACCTGTTCCACCAAAGTACTAATAAAAGCAAGAGTGTTCTGTAGTCCTCACCACTCAGTACCTAGGCCCAAACACCAGAAAACCTTTCAAACATAAGTATGCATTTGCCCGATTTTACCTATGAGAGATAACAGAAGGAAACTTTAGGTGAAAAAGGGAAGTTAGGCTTCAGCTATACCAGACCACTGCAGTGTACAGGAGGTAAAATAATAGAACTGATTATCAGCTTCACTGAATCGGTTTATTATGCTAGGGCCCACTTACTGTTTGCTTTGAATTGTCTTCACTTAGGACATCAAACATTAATAACTAAAACACATTTTTAAATGTTAGTTATCATAATTCTTGATAGGTTAGTCTTTGTACTAAGGCCTAAAATATGGTTTAGTCATATCCAGAGCCCAAAATACAACTTGAAACTTAAGGTTTAATTGAAACTAATCTTACTGCTACCTGATTATAAAGTTGATAGCAAATACTTGTCAAGTTGAGCTATTTTTAATTATAACAGTTTGCTTACAGGTGTACTACTTCTAGTTAACCATATTCTTAATTTCTAGTATGTGCCAAATTATCCTTTGAACTTTATGTGACTTAAATTCCAAGAGACTATGTATTAGTCATATATTCTATATCCTTTCATTGTGTTTATTTACCTATTTTTGGTCAGTGGCTTTAAGATCCAAGTTTGGACAAAATGTAAGGACAACCCAGAAACCTCCATCATTTCTTTGAGTAGTTTTGTCTTCTGCAAAATTGTCTTCTGCAATATTAAGGCTCCAGCACATAGTTTGTCCTAGGCACCAACATGACTCAACCATTAAAATTTGATAATCTTCAGATAGTTTTTACAGTGAGTACTTTAGTTTTTTTCCCTATGAAAATAAATTCACAAGTTTCCCCCAGGATACAAAAGTGGAGCAAAAAAATTTTATGATAATGCCAATAAACTAGTTCCCATAATGTGTCCACATTACAGTTTACACAAGTGTTTTCATATTATATTGAAGCGTTACACTGAAAAATTGTGTGAGATATCCTTTTCTCATTGAGGAAATAAAGGACAATGATTTGAGGACTCACCCAGGGATATCACCATAGGATATAATGAAATCCCACAACTTTTTTGTATAGACTCTTGCCTATCTTCTGGTTTTGCATGTATTTTTGAGAATCATTAGTTCTGACTTGATATTGTTGCTTTTAGTGGGATGAAGCACTCCTGACTATGAGTAAAGGAGAAAAGGCTCGACTGGAGATTGAACCAGAATGGGCTTATGGAAAGAAAGGACAACCTGATGCCAAGTATCCTTTTTTACTTTGTAATTAAAGGGGGAGAAAAAAACAGTAAGAAAGATCACCTGAAGATAGAAAAGATGGTGTTTAGGTTAACCTCTGTGTCAGGAATCCTGTTCACATCAGTATTCCTGATATTTAGATGCTTGTGTGTCAGTACCTCCAATACAGACAACAGTTAATATTTTCTGTGATTCAGGCTTCAGCTGGAATCTGCCATCATTCATGCTCTTAATTTTCAAGACTTAAACTGTAAGGTTTAAGTTTTCCTCTGAAAGGCACTTGTTAATGTTTGATGGGTTTATTTGAAGGAGTTAGAGATGCCCCATACAGACAACTACAGCAAATTAAGCACAGGATGCAGATATGGCTCATGGTAATTTTTTGTTACAGTATACTTTTAAGAAATTAAAAATGGCATTACCAGTTGGGAATTATCAGTTGTGAAATGAAGGTGATCAGGGTCCAACATAGTATAAACATTTGTGATTAGTACTAATGACAATAACTTTTTTTCTGATAGGCCCAGTTTGTGAACTTTTTTTTAAAAGCCATGATTTACACCATTCCAACCAGAAAAATTCAAGAGCTGTGTAGCAAAGTAGTCTTTTCTGTTGTTGGTTCCATTCCCATCGGATTAGTTGAACCAGTTAGAGTAAGTATAGAAAAAAATTTTGGCAGTCCGATCTACTCTTACAAATTAAAAGTATTTGGAAGTACAATCTCTTTTAAACCTGTCAAAATAAGATTGGCAACTGCAGCTCCCTCTCTCATGGGAAGCACCTTAAGATCAATCAGATAAAATTCACACTGTCTGTAAAGTCAGCATCTTAAAATTCACAGCAAATATCAGGTAGCACCTAATAGGATCTTTGATTTGATATATACCTAGCTAGATATCTTTTCTTGCGTACTAACATAACAGTCTTCATTAAGTGGTGGCTAATTTCGGAGTAGTAGTTAAGCATCCACGTAAGGAAGATCCTAGTCCAAGCTAAACTTACCTAGTCAGCCTATAATTTCCATTCACAAAGATACCTCTTGTTTGGAACTACTAAATTGGTATGTATTCACCTCTGAATCAGCCACAATGCCCTATTTTTTTGGAGTTCATTGCCAATATTCAGCCTAAATAATTTTAATTTTAGAGTAGTTATTGGAAGTGAGGAGAGAAGCAATTTTTATCAAATTTACCTTGACAACTTCAACAGGATTCCACCAAATGCAAAACTCATTTTTGAAGTGGAATTAGTGGATATTGATTGAAATAGCAATGTTTTAGATCTCAAGATGTCAGCAATGGCCTTGAAGAAATTTATGTAATTACAGTTGGTTACTATTTTAAGGGTAGAGTCAACTGGAAAATTCAAGGAGTTGTGTTAGAACTCATTTACTTTCTCCCCAAACTTTTAAGAAATGTAATCCACTATAAATCCCTGAAGTTTAAAATATTTTACTACAACTTGTGTAAAATACTGATTAAGGAGAACTCATTTTTCTTTTACCTCATCTTGTAGGTAAAAGGCTCAATAAAAATTTACCCATATCTTGATATGTTTGCTGTTAACATTAATGTTCTGATTAGGATCACTAAGAATTAAACACGGAGTAACAGTCACCGTCTAGGTGGCTTTTCCAAGGATACTCATCTTAAAACCTTTAAATATTCCTATACAGTGAGAAGGCAAAAGCACAGACATTAAGAGGAATCAAAAAGATAAAAAGGGCCTAAGAAATCCTGGCAAGAAGATAATAGTTGAATTCAAGAAAAGCATAGTTCAAAACCAGTAAACCACCAACTGTGGTTAATATTACCCTAGGTGATCCCAGAAATAAATTCATAACAATTAGTGAATGAGTCTTCAATTTTATTACAAAAATGAAGATGATCAGTTTGATCAAAATGAAAGCTTGCTCACAAGTTTACATGAATATTGTACATACAAAGTCTCCCAAAACAACATTTTTGATATGATTTTCATTTTTCTTAAAGGGATGCAAACATTCCATTTTCTGGTTTCTACTTTGTCTCTACTCCAAGACAGAATATTTTAATAGTGTATCTTTTCTGCAGTTAGATCAAAATTCACAAGGATAACTGAAACAGACAAAACCTGGCCAGGAAAGGTTAAAAATCCATTTTTGGTGTTTTTTCTTTTGTTTATACAGAGGACGTAAATCCTTAATAATCAGCCCTTACATAGTTTCAGAATTTTGTACTATACTGACACGTTATTTGCAGTCAGTTTTTTTTCCTACCGTTAAGGCTACAAAACTGTTGCAAATGCATTGCAAAGGAATTTTAGACCACTTAATGCAAAAATCAAAAAATAGTTCTCCAATAAAAAGTAAACTTTATAAATGGTAGGAAATAGTATCTGTGGTTTGCTACTAAATGACATTTTCCCCTATTACTAAACCAATCATATTACACAGAAACAGGGAAGACAAGTTATCAAATACGACAAGCTTATGCTATGTTTACATCCCTCATTAAAAAAAATAGTCTCATACTTTTTGCACACTCCATCTTGATATTTGTATTTTCCCATCAAGTTGGAGGGGGAGGATAATACTGTCCATAATTCCAAGGATTCTGGTAATTGTACTGAAAAGAAAAGGCAAACATGTTAGCATACTAGAACTATGGCTAAGTTTGTAAAAAATAACTAAAACATATATGTGTTCACTGCTGAAATTTCAATACTTAGCCACAAAATAATAATGTATGATACAATCTGAAACAAAGTTGTTTTTCTATTTAAAAAAAGATCCTAATTTATGCCTTTTAAATAACATCTATGAACAAAAAACTCATTTATGGCTAGGTAAAACTCACTTGGTACCACGCACTGTAATTATATGCAGCTTGGTTTGCCTGTAAATCACCATCAATCATCTGTGTAGATGATGAAGTTGTATCTTCTGTGTGTGCTTTCTTTTCCTCTGGTTCTTCTGATCTAAATAAAAGGTAAAAAGGAAATTTAAAAACTAGGCACTTTAACAAATAAATAAACGTCACTTGTGTACATTTGTTTTACTGATGTTCTTAACCACTCCTATGCAAATTTTTCAAATCATGAAAGTATCTGAATTACCACAACATAGGGTAACATTTAAAAATATCTGTCTTCCAAGGCATCTCCACAGTGAAATGTCTTCTTTTTAAGCATCCCTTCTTGATTCAACAAAATGTACATACCCATTTTCTGCTTTCCTTTTTAAAGAATCCTGTTCCTTTAGGAGTGTCTGATGTTCATCATAAGCATTCAGAAGCCTGAGAAAATTAAAATAACACACCATTAGAATATACAAAAACCAAAATGTTACATCTTTGAAGTTTTAAAATTATTTACTACTTAGAAAAACAAAAGAACATCCTTTGATTTTTCTTTTTTAAATAAGCCAGCAGGCAAACCTGTCCCCAGATACCTTTTTTTATTTCCTTTGGGAAACCACACTGCCCTATACTTTCCTTCTTCACTCTACGTGGTTCAAAGATACAGGCCTGGCTAATTACATTATACCCTTGATTAATGACTGGTTTAGAGGTGAGAATATGACCCACCCCAGCAGTCCCATAATTTTTGATGAACTACTTTTCTACAGTACAGTTAGCTAAAGCTGATGGAATGATGGCCAAGAGCTACCTTTGTTTACCATTTCTAATACATGGGGAGAACCTGTCTTAGAATGTACAACACAACTAAGACAAGAACCTTCATATTTTTGTCCAGTGCAACATGAGACCTGACAATTTTACAATATGTATACTTTTTAATCTAATTTAACAATGTTGAAGACACCTGCCACCAGGTAGGATAAAGTATTTAAATTTTGGCCATGTGATAAAACAGTTAATATAAAACTGCAGTACAATTGGTTATTGATTAAAAAGATAATTTTTAATAAAACTGATGTGACAATAGAACTTTATAAACAATGTCACTTCACTTGAAGCCAAACTGCCTTTAAAATCGTATGACTTCATTTTGCTTTTACAACTTCCTGAAATATTTTTAATAAAGACAAAGATGGCCTTTCTATTGCAGTTTCTTCCTCTACTTTTTTACTTATTATAAGATGACCTTATTTTTATAGTAATCATAAACCTGAACAGATAATTAACATCTCTGTAGAAATGACCTTGATACATTACACACTTATACAAATTCCCTGGGCCTCTTGCATATATCCACATTTAATAATATTTACAAATAATATTGGTCCCTAAATGTTCAACAGGCTATAAAACTTCATACCAGTAATTTCAGGTTGAATGTTTACTCATTATCAAGCACTTTAAATGGGCTAACTTCCTTAAGTCCTTTAACAACCTGTACAAATAAGAGACTCAATCTCCACATGAAAAATTTTGAAAACTGGAATGAATATACAATTCATTCAGTAAGTGATTCATTCAGTAAGTGACAGGACTAGGATTTAAGCCTGTATTTGTCTGACTTCAACATTAATTCTTACAAATTTATAATACCACTACCTAAATTTTTAAGTGGCTCACTTTTCATATTACTCTTTTTTGTAAATTAACACAACACACTAATATTAGAGACCTTCCTTAACTGTATTTGCAAGGGCCTAACTGGCATTTTTGTACTGAGCCTCTGCTCTGTCTGCATATTACTGCCAAATTAAAATGTCATTTAACCTCAATCAAAACTCTAATAGCTTCCTACTGTCAACTGTGTAACTGCATGTTTTCTGAACTGAGACTAGCTTTCGAAGCACAGCAATCAACATCACTTCCAAACTTCAGAAAACCCTTCAATCAAGCAAATGTTGCTGTTACATAAATTTTAACTTGCTTCTACATTTTATCCTCTTCTTAGCTTACTAGTATCTAGTACCTAACTAAATGAAGCCCCATCTCCCATATGAAGAACAAATCCATTCTGATCCTGAATCTTAAGTTATATGCTACTTCACACACTTACCTATTTCTGTGATCACCATAGCACTTAACTAGAATTAAAGCTAGAATTACATATCCCATTTTTATATATTTTCTTTAGTTCAAAATAAACAGAAGACACTAAATATATAGGACATGAGATGGTTAAGAGCAGACTGTGAAGTAGATTCTAAACCCAACTGCACAATATAATAGCTAAGTAACCTCAAGAAAAAATGTCTTTCTTTAAACCTCTTCATCCATTCAAAGATTACCCCTCATTAGACTTTTATGTATTTTACATTAGATAATTCTTACAAAACATCTGACTGAAACCAAGCACATACATACATATGTCATTGTATTAAAAAGTAACTCATTAAATTTTTTTTAGTTTAATTAAAATATTACACAGGCTGGAAGAAGGAAAAGGATTAGCCAAGTAACCTGACTGCCAAGTCTCATGACCCATAGACCTGAACAACAGTATGATGATGGCTTCTAGGGGAACATGAACAACAGTACAGAGATCACAGGGCTGGTGGAGACTGGGTGGAAGTGGGTAAAAAGGGGGAAATGTGGGGAAAACTGTAGTAGCATAATAAAAAATAAATTTTTACTCAGCCATCACGAATGTATACACCCACATGTAAATATACAGACACAAAAGTAATTCTTATGTTACCAACAGCTGTTTCAGTAGCTATCTCTAAATCAGAATTATTAGAGAAGACACATGCCTAACAGGAACTGGGATATTTCCTTACAAAAATCAGTGAAGAAAGGAATCATAGCAATGCTCTAATAAATTTCTAGCTTCTATTTGCAAATTTAAATCTTAAATTTGTCCTTTCCCAAATCCCTGAGAGTGAACCCTTCTACCACCCTCAACTTTCAGCTTTTTATAATACACAAGGATGAGGCCATTAGGCATCATCTGTAGAACCATGTCCATCCTCTTTTCCAATTTGAAATATGACAACATTCCTATTCTGGATTAGCCCCATCAATGCACCTTTAGTGACCTACATACTTAAAGTTTCTGTGTTTCAGGGTTCAATCCTTGACCCATTTCCTTTTCAATGGGATTGCTGCTTCCTGCCTTCTCTTAACCACTCATTTTTTTTATTGCCATGCAAACATTTTAAAAACAATCTGGAATGAAATAAAAACCGTATGTCCCGCCATTAAGCACACACACATTTGCAAACTGAATCTACCCCACATATACATGAGGAAAAAGTAACTTAGGCAAACATTTTAAATTTAACAATATATTAATTTGTACTAATCATCAAATTCCCAACCAGAATTATCAATGCTCACTTACTATTCAATAGATAATATAGAATTAAAGTCTTACTTATTAACATCTGAACCAAAATCTTCAAGAAATTCCACTTTTCTCTGAGAAAATGTAATTCTCATTTTAATAGGTAATGAACCATGTATGGCTTTGTCAAAACAATTTAGGATATTTTCTTCATTTTGTTTGAGGTCACCACTATATTCCATTTCAAGTAAATTGAGGTATAACTTTGTGTTCTCCTGTGTAAAAAATAGTATCAATTAATAATATTTCTAAGACAATTTGTTTAGACCACAGATATTTAAAATGCCCTAATTTTTATGTCTCAATT